GCGTGGTTAGCAGGAATCAAAGAGTTCAAGAATTTGGAATCAATCACTAATGTACCGAGGAAAGATCTTACCACCTGTCAACATAAGAAAATGAAATAAAAAAGTAATATCCTTCACAAAACGTATCTATTATCATTAACAATCACAAGGAAAAGTGAATTTCAAAAACCTTAGTAGCCCTACCAGCATCAGTGGGCACCTCCAAAACCATTCACAGGTACAGAGGCTGCATCATGCTGCTTGGGCATATTTGTCTCCTCATCTTCATCTGAATCCAAAGTGAAATGTGATGCAGAAACATGCTCCAATCTGTGCAACTCCCTATTAATCGGTCTGTACCCACCAATCCCTCCACCACCACCGCCGCTGCCATTTTTCCCCGCCAAGAACGCATAAAGCCCAACAGCTACAGTGACCAAGCCAGCTAGATGGCAATTAAACTGCAGGGTGGCTATAGCGCTGCTGCGGTGGATGTCAGCATGACCGTGGCAGACAACACTAAAGTTAGCACGGCTGCGATGGCGAAGGACACATCCATGAGCAACTAAAGAAGTAAAGAGAGAGAAAGCCATTTGCAGGAACCAGGAGCCCTGCAGGGCAAGGCCCGCTGCTCGGGCGAGACGGGGAAAGGGAGAACGAGGGCGTGCAATAGCTAGGAAGGAAGCGGCGGCGCATATAAAGATTGGAACGAGCAGAAGGTCGAAGTAACGATTCTCGAGGCCGTCGGGATCCTTGTTGTTGCGAAGGCGGAAGAGGAGGAATTCCTGGATGAAGGCGGAGAGGGATAGGAAATGAAGCATAGGGTTGGGGAGGGGACACAGATTGGAGAGGGAGAAGAGGGAAGAAAGTGCGAAGAGGAGGAAGAAAGCGGCGACGGGGAGGGAGGAGAGAGGGAGTGGATAGCCGATGGGATCGGCTGAGAGAATGGAGGTGAGGATGGAGTTAGCGACGGCGAGGATTGAGAGCGAAGCGGAGAAGATGAAGGGGAGGGAGGGGGGAAGGGGGAGGGCAACGGAGAGGGATTCGATGGCGGCGATGATGAGGAAGCCGACGCCGCCTAGGGCGTCGTGAAAAGATGAATTTGATCATTAAAAGATGTAACGATTATTCATTTTCACATGATATGATTTCTATAAATATAAAAGCTTAAGACGAGTAAATCCGTGCTAGGTAAATCTTGAAAATATTTGGGGCATTTACATTGTAGTGTAAATGAGCCGAGCTTGAGCGGGTTCAAATCTTATTCGCATTCGTCTGGTATGTTTTTCAAGTCTAAATAGAGTTTTGTTCGAGATGATTCAGACTGTATTCACTCAATTAGAATTAATTTGTTTGTTTGAGCTCTTATTTGACTTAAAATTAGCCCAAATTATTTAAAAAATAAAATAAAATACACATTCTCATGCATAAGAAAGATGACATGCATGTAAATATTGAAGTTCAAGTATTAGATATCTAAATACAAAAGAATTGAGTGGTATGTATGTAAATCATCACTTAAATATCTTATTTATGTATTTATTAATATTTTAATAAAAATAAAAAAAATAATTATATTTAAATAGCTATGTAATCTTGTTTTCAACTTATATAATCACCCATAAGTGCTATGCCTTCAATTCAGGATTTTATGGTTGAAGATAAAGCATTCAATTATTAGATCAAATAAGTTGCATAAGAACTTATGTAAATCTATGCATTACTTAATTGTTACTAGTTAAACATCCTACAATGAATTAAATGTTTTAATTACCTTTACTTACTAACCAAATTTAAATAAAAAATTTTTATCAACTGAAACATTCTCATTTAACCCGTATTTTTTTCTATAATAGGGCTTTATAACCCCTTCAAAGCATTTGTTCCTAGTGGTTGACGTGGGTGCAGTAGTTTCCGGCACGGAAGCGGGAAACAAGGTCGGGCAATTGGATCGGATGGCATAAAGGAAAGTCCAAGGGATCATCCAAAGTGTCTGGCGACATCAAGCGACTCGTGCGGCTTACCTTTTGTGTCTCCCGCCCGGATCGAGCGGCATTTTGGGAAAGAGGCATTGTAGCCTGTCATTTTTACCTCGTTCCTTTCTTGTTTCCCACCTAGCTTGGTCTATTTATATGCTTGTTTTATGAGCTTAGAGTTAGTTTTTGATGTGTTTGTTTTCAAATTTCTTGTGTGGAGTTTTCTTCCCTTATGTAGGGATGTATTCGAGATGGTAGTGATACTCATGTTGTATCCTAATCCGAGGTGGTGCATATCTTTTCTTTGTATCTTTTCTAACTTGTCTCTTCTACTCCCCTTATCCATCGACCACTCCAACCTTCCCCAACCGCCTCCAACCAACTTTCCAACAGTCCAACCTGCTGTCCAAACCTTCCAGGCCTGCTGTCTAGCCCCGCAACCTGCTGTCTCGTCGCCAAACCTTCTGTCCAGACTCTCGTTACCTGTTGTCTAGCCTTTACGCCATTCTCTGCACTTAGAAGCCTTCCATACTACCCTCAACCCTTTTTCCCTTCTCCCTTGTCCCCTTGCTAACACCATTACCACCCTCAAATATTCACCCTGATCCTAATCGGGGATTGAATTGTTATTGTATTCCCATTTGTCGTTTGTGTAACGTTGTACCCCTATATCTAAATTAATAAAAGTTTCTTTACGTTTTTCCACTGAATTTCACCTAGTTCTAGTACCAGTGGCACTCTCTTCATTTCAAAGGCTCTGACATAGACACCATTACCACCCTCAAATATTCACCCTAATCCTAATCGAGGATTGAATTGTTATTGTATTCCCATTTTCCGTTTGTGTAATGTTGTAACCCTATATCTAAATTAATTAAAGTTTCTTTACGTTTTTCCACTTAATTTCACCTAGTTCTAGTACCAGTGGCACTCTCTTTATCAACTGAAACATTCTCATTTAACCCGTATTTTTTTCTATAATAGGGCTTTATAACCCCTTCAAAGCATTTGTTCCTAGTGGTTGACGTGGGTGCGGTAGTTTCGGGCACGGAAGCGGGAAACAAGGTCGGGCAATTGGATCGGATGGCATAAAGGAAAGTCCAAGGGATCATCCAAAGTGTCTGGCGACATCAAGCGACTCGTGCGGCTTACCTTTTGTGTCTCCCGCCCGGATCGAGCGGCATTTTGGGAAAGAGGCATTGTAGCCTGTCATTTTTACCTCGTTCCTTTCTTGTTTCCCACCTAGCTTGGTCTATTTATATGCTTGTTTTATGAGCTTAGAGTTAGTTTTTGATGTGTTTGTTTTCAAATTTCTTGTGTGGAGTTTTCTTCCCTTATGTAGGGATGTATTCGAGATGGTAGTGATACTCATGTTGTATCCTAATCCGAGGTGGTGCATATCTTTTCTTTGTATCTTTTCTAACTTGTCTCTTCTACTCCCCTTAGCCATCGACCACTCCAACCTTCCCCAACCGCCTCCAACCAACTTTCCAACAGTCCAACCTACTGTCCAAACTGCTGTCTAGCCCCGCAACCTGCTGTCTCGTCGCCAAACCTTCTGTCCAGACTCTCGTTACATGTTGTCTAGTCTTTACGCCATTCCCTGAACTTCGAAGCCTTCCATACTACCCTCAACCCTTTTTCCCTTCTCCCTTGTCCCCTTGCTAACACCATTACCACCCTCAAATATTCACCCTGATCCTAATCGGGGATTGAATTGTTATTGTATTCCCATTTTCCGTTTGTGTAATGTTGTAACCCTATATCTAAATTAATTAAAGTTTCTTTACGTTTTTCCACTTAATTTCACCTAGTTCTAGTACCAGTGGCACTCTCTTCATTTCAAAGGCTCTGACATATTCTTTCATTGCTAGCCCTTAATCTACCTCTAACTTTAATTAGAGGGCTTTATGTCATGCTTCTCTCCACTTCTTTTCTTCAATAGCTTTTCTTGTCATCAATGTCCATAAAACTCTCTTATCCAAATCCTTTCTTCTCTATATCTTTATCTCTCATGGAATTTCATATATTTAGGGCCTAGCTTCTATTTTCTATCTACCTACTTCTTTCTTTTTCTTTTTTGGAATTAAATTCAACCATCCTCACTTCATCAATTCACATTAGCACTCGTATGTATCCCCCTCTAAAATATATAGTATTTCAAAATGAAAAGATCATATTCTTAATACAATTAAACAAAGGGATCTTCCTTTATCCTACATCAATGACCGTTGAGCTTGAAGTTATACTATTCGTTAATGACTTCTCACCTAATGCCAAAACTCTTTTCTCTCCAACAAAGCATGTGAATTGGCTCTTAGTGGTTATGATATTGGCAAGAAACATTTCTATGATTTTATTCTCTTCATTATGAAAATAATCTGAATATTATAGATAACTTAGACTTGTTTATTATACTGAAGGTTTTTTTATTAAAGTTTTATTATTTAAAATGTCTTTAAAATAATATGGAATATTGATCCTTTGTTTATTGATGAAAAATTATTTTTCTTCTAAAAGTGGACTAGGGATTTTAAGTCTACGTTAAAAGATTTTGTAGAACTTCACATTTAGGTTTAGTTTTTAATCTTTCCTTTATGTTGTTGGAAATAAAAGAATTTATATTAAGTGATTAGTGTTCTAGAGACCTGTTACCTATTGATAACCTTAATGCCTCTAAGTCACAACTTACCTTATCTAAACATTGGTGTTTAGTTGTTTCCTATGCCACTATCCATGTAATTTTACTTCATTCCTATTTATCTAAATGATACTGAAATATCACGAGAGGTCATCGACAAAATGAAAGCTTAATGCATGCAAATCTTGCATCACCTTCATTAATGACAATAGATCATCTTGAAATGCTCGACCTGACCTAATGAAAGAAGTTATAAAAGGGCTTTCATTTATGAAGCACTTGTCGACCTAATGAAAGAAGTTTGTCGGCACTATTTTTGATGTGGGGTTTGCCTGCTAGTAGTATAGTGCATATCCACATTTCACATGCTCTTAATCCTTACTTTGTCCTTCTCAAGATCCTTTCCACACACAACATAGCACCCTCCCACACAAGTATATTATAATTCAGAACTTAACTCTCTCTTTTCTCACCAATGTAAAATCTCTTAATTCTTCTAACAATTGAGGATTTATATCTCCTCTAATAAGCTCTAATTTCCAATCTTAGGTAGTGACATTTAATCCTCAAAATCACAACTCATTTTCATCTTCTTCCCATTCCTTCATGTTGCAACTTGGAATGGAAGGGATCTTCATGAGGATAAGTTTATTTTAGAATGCAAGAAATTTATCCAAGGTTACCAAATTGGATTTGACATTATTTTAGAAATAAAAGTTGGTTCTAATTTTATTGTTAAACCTATTTCTTAAGAAGAGGCTCCAAATTTTCTTCATTGAATATTGCTACTATTTTTGGTCACTCATGGAAGGAGAATCAAGATTAAATTGGATTCTTCTTGCATAATTTATTTTCTCTTTTCACTATACTTAGTTGATTCATATTATTTTTTTAATTTTATTGCTTCGAGAAAAAGGTTCTTACAAGTGTTCATGTTGATAAAGTCATTGATGACATTAAGCACCTCTCTTAATCCCCAGTTGAAGTCTCAAAAACTACTGAAAGAGATTAAGTTATTTTGGATGGTTTCAATGTCATTAAATATGTTTCATATATGGTTAATAAAATACTCATACTTTTTAATAAAATATTTACTAATGATTATATTTATTAATATATCATATTAGAAATTTTTATCATGTGACTCTTTACACCTGATTTAACAACCAACTAGAACACCCAAAAAGAATAAAGATTGATAGACTCATGTAATTGTAGATGATTACTTTCATAATTCTTGGTGTAGAATTATGTTATTTTATCTTCTACTTATTATGCTCTAGACACTACTTTGGGTGACTTTTCCTCTCTAAGTATATGTTTATTATCAAGGACTTTTAGATCCCTTGTGATAATTATTTGAATGATCTCTAATATTTATCATTCAATCATATATAAGAGCTCTTTTTTTTTCTTTATTAACTGCACAAAATCACTTTATTGAAAATTCTATATTATATATATACTTGAGAGCATCATAACATAAGAAATCACTATTTATTAATGGTAATTGTATTGATTTTGTGATATTTGGTTGGAAACATAATTCATATATTCCAAACTAACTAATTTGCTACACCGCTTCAAATCTCATGTCACCCAAAGTTAAGGAAATGGAAGTAGAAAAAAAATTGGTCCAAAAATATTTGTTCTTTGCTTTAACATTGGATGAATACTATTTCAATTCTCAAAGTTTGTTTAAATTTAAACTTTTGACATGCAAATGCAACTTCCCTCATATCAATTCTCAAAGTTTGTTTATTTAACTAATCAGTTCTTAATTGTATTTTGAAAAAATTTCTTGTTAAGTTTTCTCTCAAGAATGTCATGCATAGTGAATTCGTTCTCATTCTGAGCTTGTAGTTGGATAAACTAAAATTTTCTATTTTTATCATAGTTTATTTAACTAATCAGTTCTTAATTGAATTTTGAAAAAATTGCTTGTTAAGTTTTCTCTCAGGAATGTTATGCATAGTGAATTCGTTCTCATTATGAGCTTGTAGTTGGATAAACTAAAATTTTCTATTTCAAAAAAAACACTCCCAATATAATGGAGGCTCTACTCCAAAGCATTGCTAACTTTGTTGGTATAGAAGAGTTCATCTGAGAGTTAAATTCAATGAGTCAATAACACTATAAACATGTTACCTCAATTAAGGAAAACATAAGGAAATTTGACTTCTGTAGTTGTGCTTGCTATTTTGAAAAGCATCAGTACATTAACCCAAAGATGCATTCCTTCGTATCACCGCATGAACAAGTTTTATGAAGCTTGCCAACCTTCATACAACAAATGCTTGGTCAGGGCCACGGTTGTTATTAGGAAAGACTACTTGAAGCAGCATGATTATATTGATGAAACTCATTAGCCTATGACAAGTCAATATTGTGTTTGTCTCACAATGACTGTAATTATGATACATTAATTTATAAAATGTTGGTAATCCTACTTGAAAAACGAATTTAAAATTTTCATTTGAAATGATTTTTAACTTATAATCGAGATGGCAAGAGATCAAATGAAGTTCAACTTGTAAAACTAAATAAAGCTAATTGTAATCATGTAAGTATTTACAAAAGAAGCTAGTTTTGAAGGCAAATGAACATATCTAGAAAGTCTCAATTAGATAAATGTGTTTGCATCTACCTCATTTCCTTCAATTTTTCTCTTTTCTTTGATAATGGCTTGTAATAAAAAATAAAAAAAAAACCAAATGATGCACTTCCTAAAATTTTGTAACATATTTATTTCTCTTATAGAGAAGATGAGACTTAGTTGTAAGAACTTCAACCACCCAAAGAATATCTCATTAATTTCTTGAGATACCTCCCAGAAGGATCAGACAAAATGAACTTTTGATGACATCTACAAAATCAAACAAAAATGAATATATAATCATCTGAGCATCATCCATGTTATGAAATTGATGTGATACATAACAAAAGAATAAAACACACATTAAAATGAAAATCTTAAACTGGGGTAGTGCCTGACTTTTTTTCTTGAGATTGTTAGGCCCCATCAATTCATCACCACCACAACTTCCCAAAAAATTTTCTCAGAATTTTTTCGCGAACCTTTTGATCCAAACCTAATAATATTTGAGTCACAAATTCTTATAGTTCGTGAATGATTGCACTTTTAAAGACCTATTTTTTGAAATGTCCACTGGCCAACTCACCAGCAAAAGAGAAAGATATCAATCAAATGTCAATATCACTGTGAGAGTCAACTAAGAAGTTGCCTTAATTTTCTCAATCAAGTTATTTTATATATCTTTGTATTGAAACCTAAAAAAAAATGTTGTGAGTTGACATAAGTGTCTCATAGCAACTAGAAGTTTTCATAGAGAAGTAGACAAGTCATTGAAAGCTATATTTATTTGAGAATTTTATAACCCTGAGTGCAAATTAGAGATAGTCCTCATAGCAAAAAGCACTACCTTAACCAGTTGCAATGATTGCATTTTGGCGCATTTACTTACATACCCCACTATTCCTATAATTTACATATCTAACATCTATACTTACATACCCCGCTCAAATCTTTGACAATACATCAAAAATATCACAATTAATATTTTTTTTTAAATGAAATACACCTTTCAATACATTGAGTATTAACACATAAGTGTTATAAATGTAAATATCAAATTTTAAATGTTAAATATATAAATACATAAGAATTGTCTGGTATGAATGTAAAAATTTCTTAATTTTTCAAGGCATTTATATACATACCAAGCAATTCTTATATATATATATATATATATATTTACATATCTAGCAATATAAATAATTAGTAATAATGATAATAATGATGATGATGTGCACATAACAACGAATCAATGAGATAATGATTATGAAAGTTAAATTATAGTAAACCTAGTGGCTCCAAATATCATAATAAACTCAAAAATAATAATAATCATAATAATAATAATATAAAATAAAATTAAATACATCATATACTGTCTATTGTCTGCCACTATGAAAATAAATAAATAAATAAATAAACATTAAACAGAATGCTAAATAACCAATCCTTCTAATTAAAAGATGGCTACAGCTGATCTTTGCATAGAGATTCTTTCTGCAAACAACACATTCAATCATTAAGGTAACATTAACCACAAAATGACCAAAAAATGATCACAAAATGCAGATTCTATCCACTAAAAAAATGGCCAAATCTATTTGGACAACTGCAACAAAAACAAGTTATAAATGGTTTGACCCAAACCATCTGGAAGGAACAGAGTCCTGGTGATTTCTTGTAGTATTAAGCAGAGTGGGCACGGGATATGCTTGATTCGGAACATAGTGGGGCCCATGAAATCCATAAGCAAGGCGAACATGAGCTGTTGGATCGTGCTGTGGTCCATAAATCAAGGGATTATGATATGGTCCATAACCCATATTAGCATAAATGGGATGCCTTGGATCACTACGGGCTCGATAACCCGATGGGTCTAATGGCATGTGTGGAAGACCGACTACATTAATGGGTTGTGGTGGAACATAAGACTGGACTGGATGTATTGCAGGAGGAGGCAAATAAATGGTGCTTAGGTTCTGATGAGAGCCAACACTGGAAGCTGCTGCAGTTATAGCATGTCCTGCCCTCGCAGGTGCCGGTTTTTTGTTATGAGGAGGCTGACTGAATTCGATACCGGGAATTTTCCGCTCAAGATTATTCATCAAATTCATGCTGGGATGATTACTCGGAGTGATGGCGTCGACAACAGGATCAACAGGTTGATTAGAAGGGAGTTTCCTCTTTAGAGTCCTCACCGAATAGTCATCGGCACGATTGGTTGTAATGATCGCATTGGCATGAAGCCGAGTAGACTCCATAAAAGTTTTTCTTTGCCAATCAGCATGATTGTCTGTGTTGTTGATATCAACTATTGGCTGAACAGATTGAGTTAGAAGTTTGTGCTCCATAATCATGGCTGCTTTGCTTTTGATATGTGTGCTTTGAGCTTCCAAAGAGATTGATCCAAACAAGACGGGCCTGAGGAGACATAATTCCATTTGCTCTTGCATGGAACGAGAGAGATGCTCGAGTGAACCTCGAAGGCAAGCATAGATCTTGGTCATCTCAGATTTCCCAACGGCTCTCGCAAAATTTTGAGAACGATCGAGAAAGTCCTCAATCTAAAACACATATTTAAGATCAAATGAGGTCAGGCTGCAATGGGATGAAGTTTTGAAGATTCATATGCATGCCAATTAATTCTTATGTATTTACGTATCTAACATCTAAAGTTCAATTTTTACATATATGCCGCCTAATCTATGCAAAAAAAAAAAGGTGTAATTCACCTTTTAAATTTAAAATAATGGTACTTGATGTGATATAAAAGATTTGGTGGTGTAAATGTAAAAAGTTAAGGTGCTATATATAAAAATACATAGGAATTGGTGGTATGCATGCAAATGCCCCATAAAATCTATATAATCCCTGAATATAAGATGATAAGTGTTTTTACACTCATATTGCCAACTTTCGAACCACCCCACGTCTTTGATATCCACGAACCTTCAAAAATGCTGGCACACAGACCTAGTTCCCAGAGCTTTTCGACTGACGATAACTGAACAAAATTTGAAATGCGGGAGTAAGAAACTGCAGATTTTGACGAGAAAGCATGTAAAGGACAGATTGTGGAATAAAGGAACAATTAAATCTTCCATCTTAAAAAATGGAATGCCTTTTGCGCTCAAATTCCATTAATGATCAATAATATCAGATATAAATAAATGGCCCAAATCTGTTCACTCTCTTTTGTGCCCTTGTTAAATAAGCTTTCACTTCAGGTACCAAAAATGGATAGGGGTAGTTTACCTTGGCCAGCAAAGCTACAAATAGCTCGGCTACAGATTCCTTATTTCCAACTCCAAAGTTCTTAAACAAAAGAACAACATTGCGCAAGTTTGTGGCATTTGTTCCATCTATGTAAAGAAAAAGATATCAATAAATAAACCAAGCAAAGCAATACAAAATTAAGAGTTTTAATGCTAGCGGATACTGTTTATAACAGAAAGTTTTAATCCACTTGAACTCGATGTTATACTGTGAAAACGACGAAGTATAGTTGGGTTTTCTGAATATCTTGCTCTGCTTATCTAGCAACACAATGCCAAAGATGTTGAGCTATCGCAAGCAATGATCCTCTTCATCCATGTCTTATCTCAACTATTCGGTATCTACTTCATGAATCCACCTTCATTAGATCCTACTGAGTTCTAAATGAAATTTTAACTCTGTTTCGTCAAGTTATGTTTAAAAGCTTGTATGCTTACATTGATAGATGGAGTACCCCTGTTGTTGCTAGTTGGAGACACTGATGTAACGAAACATTTATGGCTCTAACCTTATTGCCATACAAACTTTAGCAAGCATAGAAGCTGCATGCTAGTGTTTTACCTTTTTTTGTTTGTTTCATGTAGCCGACCCCACGTAGTGGGATTAAGGCTTTGTTGTTGTTGTATAGAAGCTGCATGCCAATAGGGATGTATCATATTGTATTATGCTAGGTCGCTAAGGGTAGTACATGTATAAGTTATGCCCACCTGTGTCAATGCGGAATAATTGACCAATAAAGGGTTAGATTTATAAAAGACTATGGTTATTAGGGCTCCCACGAAGAAATATATATGTCTTATAATCCAAAAAATATCACTCTATGCTATGATCTATGAAGAAGATGATGATGATGATGATGTTAAATTCAAATGCTCTGATTATGCCTGACATCAAATATCATGACAACTGTTATAACTGCTTTATATTCTATGTTATGATAATGATTGGTATGTCAAATGCTATAGTTATCGATAAATTCATACAATATTCAATGATCAGCATGCATTTGATTTTTTCCCGATTGTATTTATTGTTATTTAGAGTTATGACTTGCCCATTAAGTTATATGTTCTCATATAACTCAACACCATTAGAAAATATACTAAAGAACAAATAATAATGCATATGAATTTAAGAAATAAATATAAAGTTATAGAAGTTGCAGTTATTCTTAAATGAAATGATCAATATTAAGCAATTCTTTTATGCTTATAGTCCATAATTTAGTGTATTTAAGAAGTGAATTATCCACATGATTGTTATGTCATTATGTTTTTTTTTTTAAAATTTGTTGTGTGCGGCAATAAATCAACCAAAATATATTTTTATCCGCTTCCATCGTTGTTGTTTGTCCCCGCCTTGAATTATTCTAAGCTCTCAAGTTGGTTCATGATAAGAGTGGTACTAGAATAGTTTTCGTGTTGATGGAAACATCGCTAATAACATTTTATTAGGGCAAGAGTTTCCATCTAATTAAATTCAAGGAAACAAATGGGGATATAATTATCGTGACAACTGCAAAGCATATGACAAACATATGGGATTTGTATTTAAAGTTATTGAATTTTTTTTTTTAAAGAAAATAAAAGAAAATTTCAAAAAATTCGCCCTATTATTCATTTATGTCCAATTTAGTCCCAAAATATCATATTACTTCAATTTAGTCCCAAAATAGCATATTACTTCAATTCAGTCACTCGACTATACAAAATTTATCCAACATGATCCCTCGTGTAGAAATCATGAAATAAAATTAATCCTAATTTAATTCCTCAACAAAACAAAATTTATCCCAATATAAGGTCTGAGGGACTATTTTGGATTAAGTTTATATAGTTAAGAGACAAAAGAGAAGAAATGTGAATACATTGGAATTAAATTGGACATGTAATCGTAGTTGGGGGACAATCCTGAGATTTAACCGAAAAATGAAAATCCTTAGTTTATGCTTGCATATCTCTGAATGCTGGTTCCCTAATTCAATGACTGAAACAATTGTTGGATTTTCGAATAATCAAGAAGGTTTAGAATTATTATCTCACTACTTTTCTTTTCACTCTTGACCATGAGCTATTCTGCCAGGAGCCTCCAAAAACTTTACTCCACCCACCCATCAATGTACTACCAGATCAAATGCTTATAAACCATCTCTCCTTTATTGATGATATTCTCATGTTTGTCAACATCCCCTTACTTCATTGGCTTATTAATTTCATTAACTCTTTTTTAGGGATATTTGGTCATTTTATCAACAAGGGTAATAGCTATGTCGTTTCAATGCATAAATCACATCCATGTTGCATTAATTTTAAGTTGTCGGCGGTGTTTACTGAAGTAAAAAGAAAGCCCTTAAATTGTCCGGTTGGAAGAAAGGACTTTTTAGCAAGGACAAAATCACTTAGCTTAAGTCTTAAAAGATACTTTTGTACCTAATTTAGGTCCTTGTTTATCCTATTATAGTCATTAAAACTTTTGAAAAACCATTTAGAGTGTTTTCGGGGGTGATTATTATAATGTCAAAAAAATTCATTGGTGCAAATATAAGGAAGTTTGCTACAAATCTGCTGAATGGGAATTACTCTTTAGAAAACTTAGATGTATCATCAAGGTCATCTCATGTAAGCTCATGTTTTAATTGAAGTTTAAATTTATCCCTGGGATAAATTATGAACGTAAGAAATTATGGCTATATTGATCTGTTTAGTATAGTTCCCCAATAGTTGGAATCCCTCTTTGGAAGAGATTGTGTTTTATTAAAGATGAGGCTGAGGATTCTAGATTTTAATTCGTTGCAGATGAATTTTGAGATGATCGTGGGGTTGGTAAATCCCATATCAGGCCAATTGGCCCAATTTTTTTCACCATCAAGTTTAAGTCAAAGCTTTCTTTTAGATGAGGGTTGGACTGATCACACTCAAAAGCTGTCTTCTTGAATAGCTTGTTTCATTAATAATCATGATTGATCTCTCATGAACTCTCTAAATAGTAAATTTTCAATATAAGAAACACACAAAAGGGAAAAATCAATACTGTTAGAGATCCTTTTCTTTGGGAAACTTAATCTGGTATAAATGCACTGCTTGTTCCTATTTTTCTACTACCCGTTCAAAAATAACATCGTAGTCATTTTAGACTCGATAGCTCATAAATTCATCTGTTATGCTGTTCAAGAGTTGCATAATTATCTTTTCACTAATATCCCTTCCATCAACGAGGTTTGGAATTTTATGATGAACCTTCTAACTATAATATTTCACAGGTAAGATCTATCCATAGGTTACTTCATACACAGGCAACTTCTAATAACTAGGCTAATCCTAAACAAATCAGAGTAAAGTGGATTTGATACTAATTTGTTGCTTCTCCACCTTCAAAGCTAAGGTTTGGACATCATACATATCCAGTAAAATTGTAATTGCAACACATTGTCAAATAAAAGCTCACAATCCTCCAAGATATCAGAATATGATATTCTCCCCCGAGCTCTACCAACTCACATTTCAACATAGTTATTAAAACTCAGCGGTGTGCTCCTCTACTAATAAGATTTTTTTATTTTAATATGTCACATTTGTAATGTGTTGTGAGGTACTTCCATTGCATCACATTCTTCATCTTATATCAGGTCATAATCTTGCTCTTTAATTCACACTCATGCACGTGCTAAAAATTCTTCCACCACAAAGAAGAGCTCATCTTTAATTTGATGGTAACTACATTTTTTTGTCAAGTGAAACGTCCTTGTACTAAAAAACTCATTCCACGGTTTGGAGTCACTAAAAAAACTTACAACAATCAAAATTTGATGGAATCAACCTTTCCTCCAAAGTCACTCTCCCTCCTCCTATACTCAATGATGAACCCACACGGTATTGACCCTTTGTCTCTTGAAGCTTCTTAGTGAAAAGGGTTTTCATTACTTTGTTCATCCAATTGATCATTGTTATTGCATGTGGGTTCCTCGTGTTGTTTTCTTTCAAAATCAGTAAAACTCCACTGCAACTAAAGGATTTTTCACTGTATATCCTTCAGCGTAAACTCTTGAATATTCTTTCAAAGGTTTCTCCTTGACACTATAGTAGGTGCTACTTTCAAGATTTCAGGCACGATTAAATTTTTGGCTCTAGAGTAGGCCAAAAGTTATTTTTAGGTTTAGGTGTGAGGTTTAGGTGCGGCTTGTGGGTTAGGATTTGGATTTGGGGAAAAAAATTTAGAATTTATTGGCTCTGATATCAAATGATATTGCTCTAGAATTCCTGGAAAGTGCATAAGAGTAAAAATAAGTGTTGGCAATCTTCCTAAGATGGTAAGAAGAGAAACTGAGAGCAAACGGTGAAAATTCGGAGAGGGACGAACCAGCTGGCTGCTGTCCAGGAATACAGCAGAAAATTTGGCTGTCCAGCAAAATCAGTGAGGAGAATCCACCCCTAATCTCAGTCAAGTTACACGCACAAAATTTAAAGGAGAAAGATTATAGCACTCCTATAAGAAGAGAATGTGCAAAAAGATCTCAACTTATCACTAAAACAAAGAAAAGCCGACTGAACCAGTTCAAAAGTAGATACATGTATAATCTCAAAGTAAATTAATCCTGATACTAGTGTTAACTAAAGAAAAGAAGATCTTTAAGGGACCGACAGCCTTAGAGGCTGGGCTTGCTCAGCCAGCTAAGATAAATAGAGCCAACTTTCCAGTTCAAAGTTTCTCGCGCCTATCCCAGACGAAAGCAGAAATAGTTCCCACATCGGCTGTGGGAAATAATGCCGGCATCATTGCTGGACTTGTTGGTCCTTTAAGTTGTCAATAAATGATATCCCATTAATCCTCTCTATCTAAAAGGATTATATCATGACAAAATTTGCCATACTTATCCATTCTTTGAAGTTGCAACACAGCAGTACAGCATCATAACATAGATAAAGCATGCTCAACATAATGATGGTGCCAAATGCGAGCAACTTGACATTATCAATAAGCACTCGCTTTTGTCTTCCCACCATTGCCAGTCCTGCCCACGTCCCCTAGTTCATGCAAAAACCATCACAATTCTGCGAGTGCCACCAGAAATCAATTTCCTTTAGGTTGCTAAATTTTATTCAGTCACAGAGAGAAAGAGAGCACAGGAGGGGAGGTGCCAAAAGATAGAAAATTGAGTTTTTATTTCCCACCTTTAAATATTTTTTTGTTTCTTGGAATCTGCATTATGTTTTTGTTTAAGAAATTTTTAATACTATATATAATCATTAAGTGCCTTAAGTTTTGTAAGCTGATCAGAAAAACCAAGTCATAAGCCTGTGTCTTATATGACTCGACTTCTTATTTGAATATCCAAGCATTGGCATTCATTATCAAAATGGTACAGAAAATTTTAGCACCAAATAGCTTCACTGACCTCTCAGTAAGGCAGAGAATGGAGGCAGAATGGGAGGATCTCTAGTCTGTTCTGCAAGAAAAGGATGATTCCATAAGAAATTAATTATCTCATGTGGTTCAAGAACTAGAGACAGATAACTAGACATGAATTCAGACAAGAAATACTTACTCCTAAAACAGGCTTCACCAGATATGTAAAATAGTTATTATATGCTAACAAACTTTGATAAAGATTGGAATCAACAAGATAAAAATTTGGTGTCATGAAAGCAGTATGGTGGCAGCAGAAGTTCATGTGCCATTCAAAGCAAAATCAACGATGTCAAATGACAAAAAAACAAAGATACCATACCACCAAATAGCTTGCTCAAGAAGGTTGGTGGTCACTATCAAAAACTATGATGATGAGTTGTAAGAAAAAGTTCAGAGCAGGATTTTAAACTTGAATGATTAGCAGTCATTGCTCATAATTCATAAATCTAGTTCTCCTTTTGAATTTAACGGTTCGCTGTCTTCCAGAGGTAAACCTTGCGACTTTAGGACCAGTAAAATTCAATATATCATTAAAAAAAAAAACTAAAACTTATATTTAGTACATTCCTACGTTCATTACCAATTGTTAGGCAACTTCCATCAAAAAGCATAAACCAAGACTGCTAATGAATAAATAAAGCAACAGCACATGAAACATCACATATACGCAATACGCAATATGAATTTGATAAGTACTACGAATGGAAATATATTGGTATTAAAGAGAACCGAGAAGTAGGTATCCAATCATCACCCTGCAATATAACCCTATATAGACACTTTGCAAAATGCAGCACCAAATATGAGGTTATGGTTTGGGAATCATTCCTGTTGTCTTGTGTCATATACATTCAGAAAATTGAAAAGAAAAGAAAAAAAACAGAACATAAATAACATACCATACACTAAGGGTCTGTTTGTGATCACTTTTATTTTTTTTATTTTTTTATTTTTTTTGCTTTTATTCATAAAACATGTTTATTTGGTGCATTTTTTGCACGTTTATAGTTTTTTTTTTTTCCAAAAACAAATTAGCTTACTTTTAAAACACTCAAAACATCTAAAAGTTATTTTGAGTGTTTTTAAAAGCAACTAAAGATGTTATTACATACCAAATATGTTTTATTTCAAGTAAAAACATAAATAAAACAAAATAAAAATAAAAATAAAATACAAAGGTCAAAGATGATCCCCAACAACCCATAAATAACATGTTCTTAAAGCAAAGAGAAAAATGAATTATTGAAAAACATATTGCTACAATCAACATACAAAAACATTTAGCAGCAGCAGCAGATAGATTGGGACAGTTTAGCTGACATCAGAAGACTAAAAAAAGAATATTTGTTTGTAGAAATCCTAACATATACACTAAACTAACTTGCATAAAAGCAAAGCCGACGCTAAGAGCATATATGACTATCACGTGGCAAAACTTAGAATCTGAATTCAAACAAATTTAACAACCGACATATCATCAGATAACTATTTTAAATTTTTAATACATTGCATGACTCAATTTTAATTTTGAGAAAACTAATTTAAATAATATGTATCAATTTTAATTTGGAAACAACTCTTTTTAATGATTTTTAACTCTCTTATCAGGCATGACAATACTATTAAATATAAATTCAAATTAATAATTATGACTATTTTATTTCTATTAAATCAAGTATGCCGTCCATCTCCAATTCCCCATAGTAACCCAGCCAATGTCAAATACATTATATAATGACCAAATGTATGACTTTTTTGTGTATGATAATATAAAATTATCTTGAAATATAATTAACTTTATTTGATCAATCTTTAGTCAATTTAATCACAAACGAGCTTTACATTATAACTTAACAAAGTATTATTATTATTATGATTATTATCATCCATCACATCATAGGGGTATTGTCTAGTTATCTTATGCATACAAAAGGGCATTCATTCCTTCTTTCAATGCCTGAAACATGTAAAGGACGCCTTCAAATTATGCTTTCAGTAACCTTTCCAGTAAGAATGCTTGCTTCTAAAAAGAAAAAATCTGGAAAACTAAAAACATAACTCACTTTACGAAAAAACAAAAAAAAAGATAAACCTGTAATCCCAATGTTTTATACCTGAAAATGAAAAGCAACAAGGGATATTATGGATAAAGAGTTCAAAGTGCCATCTTTTGAACTGTTTATGTCATTTGCTTTTGCCCATGCCTTCATCTACATCAAGAAAATAGTAGAAAAAGATAAATTCAAGACATTTCCTACAAATTTTCTAATTAGCAAGCAACTGCTCTTATTGAACAGAAAGAAATGTCCAGTACGTTGACGTTGACAGTGCCAAGAAAAAATACCTATAAAGCACAGAGAAGTTAAGAGCTTATTTGGGATCATTTTTGTTTTTTTGTTTTGTTTTTTTTTTAACAAGTTTGTTTGTTCCTTTTTTGTATGTTTTTAAGTGTTTTTAAAAAAAACCAAACAAGTTATTCCATACCAAATATGTTTTGTTTTGAATCAAAACAAAAAAAAAAACCAAAATAAAAAAAACAAAAATTAAAATTAAAAGTGATCCCAAATGGTCCCTAAGATAACAAATGCATTGCGGAGAACCATGATAGGCTAGGCATAGATGTACTGACAATCTTTTTAAATGTCAGCAAGCTCAAAAACTTAGAGCAGTAAAGTATGTATGAAAACATTCACAATTGATCATATTGTCAAGATCAAAATTCTAAAGCAAGCGACAAGGATATCAAAAGAACTAATAGAAGGCATAACAAGACAGAAAGAATTTACAATAAGATTGTTAGCTATGTAATCAGATAAAGTGTCAAAATAGTAAGATTGTCAGCTATATAATCCGATAGGGCTGTAAACGAGCCGAGCTTGAGCGAGCTCAGGCTTGGCTCATGTTCGGCTCATTCGAAACTGCTCATGCTCGAAATTGGCTCGTTTTCGAACTTGGTTCGTGAACAGTGTGTTCGTGTTCAGCTCGAAATTGGCTCGTTAAAATTAAATTGAAAAAATTAGATGTAAATTATTGAATTCAAACTTAGACCAAATGTATGGAAAAAAAGACACATAACCACATTACCACACAAGCTATTACAATTTAAACTTAGATATAAATAGATATAATATATTATTATATAAATTATATATGTAATATATTATTATATAAATAACTATATATATATATATATATATATATTTTTTCGAGTTAAAGCAAGCCGAACACGAGCGAACAAAGAGTTGTTTGTTTTAGGCTCGTTTATAATTCGAGCTTTAAAAACTTGTTCGTGTTCGGCTCGTTTACTTAACGAATGAGCCGAACACGAACTATTCGCGAACAACATTCGCGAACAACGAGCTTTTTACGAGCTTTTTTGACAACCCTATAATCAGATAGTGCAAAGTGTCAAAATAGTCTCCCTTAACTATTTATATGGGCTCATTTTAGTCCCAAAGTCTTATAAAAGTGTCAAATTAGTGCAGATATTCTTTTAAAAAGGGCTGAAATAAACTCTGATAAGGACTATTTTAGCTTCATTAAAAGGGTTTTTAAGGACTAAATTAACATTTTTTATAACCAGAGACAAAAATGACAACCTACAAAAATTCACAGATTATTTTGACAATTTTCTCTACTTTGATATTAGAGTGGCATAGTTTGTGCCAAATTATTATCTAATATGAGTATGCAATATCCAAGAATTGTTGGAATTTCCCAAAGGAAATGAGAAATCAAACAAACAAATGAACTAAAACACGTGATCTCATGTGTGTCCGAGAACCTAATCTAGTGTCAACAATAGTAGATATATACTCGCAAGAAAGAATTTTAAGATAGAGAACAAGCATAGAACCAAGAGCAAAAAATTCTGAAAGAACTTGTAGTACCAAATAACACATAATGTGAAACCTTTCATCAATTGTAGAAATAATGGAGAAAAATAATGATCTTGAAATTCCATCTTTGTTTTCTACGGATATATCACATTCAATACCGGTCCTACAATCTACAGCTTTTAGAACTGGCACTCTAGCTTGCAGAACTGGGAAGACACCAGAAAGATCACCTTTCCCTGCACTATGAGTATGATTAGCTATGGCAGATATCAATGGAAAAAATATGAAAAAAGGTTCAAACATCATCAGAAAAATAATTTTTTAAATTAAAAAAATGACAACAAAGGCAAGCTTATTAGAATAAAAGTGTCAAAAACATTTAATATTATTCAAAAATGAAATAAACTGAGCAAATAACTTAACGAAAAAAATAGAAGGTTGAATCAGTAAAAGTAAAATTTACAAGAATAGACTCAAAGCAATAGCTTTTTATATATATCAAAACTAAAATGACTTGAAAAAATATATCACAGGAGCTGCAGAACATAGATGCAAAGCTAAAAGCAACATAAGTAAATGTTTATTAGTAAATTGTAGTTTAAAAGCAATATTAATACATTAATCAGCCAAATAATTTGATTTCTAAGATAAGACGAACTTTATTTGATCGCAACTATAAATTTATCGATTATAAACTCTCAAATTTTTGAACTTACAACATTCTTAAAGCTTCGAAAGATTTTCCATTCTATACTAGCACCATATGTACGATTATTACAATTCCATTGCCAATTTTTTTGGGACATTACATTTTTGCAGCATAATTATTTTTAAAATATTTTGGGAATTTTCTATTTTATCAGAATTAAATGAGAATATGTCACTCAATAGGACACAATGGAGAAAATGGATTCATGTAGCCAACCCCACTTAGTGGGATAAAGGCTAGCTGTTGTTGTTGTTGTTGAATATGTGCTCTGTTACCGTATGAACATTTTCTCCCAAAGATTCATCAGAAATTTTCAGCTGGAAATCTCAGCTTTGCTTCAAGGTTTCAAGGCATTTACAACTATGATTTTGACACAAATCCAATGCTTTTTAAGTATACGAGAAAAAAATCACTGCAGGATAATCCAATGTCTCATAAGGCTATGTGTGAAGAAAGAATTGGAAGCTTAAGTGCCAACAAATCTGAATAAGAAAAGTTTCAAAATTTCTAATTTTTTAAAAAATTTACTACTAATATTTGAAAAGCTTTCTATGGTACTGCACATATAAGTAAATGATCGTACTTAACACTTTTTAGGTGTGATCATTCGAAGCACTTTCCATAGTACTACATCATATTGAGTAAATGATCGATATAGTCTGCAAACTTTTTAGGTGTGTTCATTCTAGCCCAAACTATTACAGGTGTTTAATTTAGCCTTTCATCACATCAAATCTGAATTAATTTGAATATCATCAACTGTATCATTTCTTTGGATGAAAATTGGTGAAAGAAAGCTTTCCATGGGGGCATTTTAAACTTTTTAGATTAAAACTCATTAATTTAATTTGATATGTAGTGGGATTGACACTAAGAAATACAAAAGTATTCTTATGAAAAAAGTCCCAGCACTAACTTCATTCAAAAAATATAACAAAGCTGATAGTAGTACTAAACTAATTCAAATTTGTTAAGTGGAAAAACTAAATTGAACACACCTAGCACCTAAAAGTTCTAAGGATTATCATTTAATTAATCATATTATTAAAAGAGGATGGCAATAAGGCAATCCACATTGAAGTTGTCAGTAATTTTAGTGAGATGGTCATATAAAAATGAACTCATGACATTCAAGATTATGCAAAACTATACAAGAAAAATCTTTTATGACACACTCTTTAACGGTAAATCTCATTCAAACTTGCCCTCCAATATCAGGATTTTTGGGAAAAACTCATCTATAATGGTGTTAATTAAAAGCCAGGAATGAAATCTCATGATCAGTATTCCTACTATCAAGCATGTATCATCAGAGAAATTGCAAAGAGAATCAGCACAATTCCCAACTCAAACTTCAATCAAAATACTCCCAACAAGCCTGTGATTGATGCTTGATGCTGTTGATATAATGCCTTGATTAGAATCCTATAAAATATATTCAGTAAAGTTTAAATTACTGTTTGATCAAATTTTAGAGATTTAATTGGAACATCAATGGTTTTGAAGAAATTAGGTCATATGGGTGTATGCATAAAAAATGAACAGAACAAGTTGGCAATTTGACATTAAAAAAGCAGATAAATTAAATTCACCCAAATACTACACTGGAGCCAAATAGACCTAGGACATTGACATAATAGTTGCCCTGCAGTCTATACATTACTAAATTTCAAAAGTTCTACTGCCCTAAAATAAGATTCCATTTGGTATCACTTCTGCTTTCTATTTTGTTTTCATTTTTCTACTTTTATTTTTGAAAACATGTTTGACTAGTATAACTTTTAATTTTTCTTATATTTTGTTCATAAAACAAATTACCTTATTTTTATAAACACTCAAAACACAGAAAAGAAGTTTTTAAGTGTTTTTAAAAATAACTACAACAACCAAACATATTTTACTTCAAATCAAAATACAAATAAAACAAAATAAAAACAAAAAATATAAGACAAAGAACAAAAGTGACCCCAAATGGGCCCTAAGGGCTCATTTGGGATCACTTTTATTCTTTGTTTTCATTTTATTTTGTTTATATTTTGACTTGAAAAAAAAAAACATGTTTGATATATTTGATTAAAATATAGCTGTTTTTGAAAACACTGTTTTTAAAAACATGTTTATTTGTTTTTAGAAAAAATGAATAAAAGGAAATTAAAACACATCAAACAAACGTGTTTTTAAGGAAAAAAAAACAAATAAAAACAAAATAAAAAAACAAGATCACAAACAAGCCCTAAATAAATGAAAATGATAGCAATCAATATGATTTGCACCAGAATTTAAACTTTATTGTCCTACAAAATTAATAATTTGAAATTAAAACATCTACATGAAATACTATATCTTCACATTAATAGTAAGGATGTCTCATACAAACCAGAAAGATCAAAGTCAAAGGGGGCACAATCATCATCATCAAAAACCTAAAATTATGAATAGAAAATCCAACAGAAACTTTGCAAGGACATCTTTTATTCATTAGTGTTATAGGACCAGCTCAACCATTTAATAAGAGAACAGGTTTTCCCAAGTGATCATGTACCAAAGCATAAAATTTAAAAAATGAAAAGATGGTCAACTAACCAACCATTTTGACCTTACTTTGTTTTTTATATAAAACTTTGGCAAGTCTTCGAAGAACAAAAATGGCATGATCACGAGGGAAGTGTGCTGCATTGCTATTAGTGAAGTTGATGGATAGGTCGAGATCACTTTTAGTAGTGAACATGTCCATTAGAAAGGAGCCAAATGCTTCCACAACAGGAAATCCACCCGTATTACCTTGAGACAAAAAAAGAATGATAATTTGGGTTATATATATATATATATATATTGATAAATAAATAAATATATACATACACACATAAATGCATACATACATACATATCTAAAGAGGGTGACACCTAATTCCAATAAAATCCACATACCTGTTGTGGTCCTTTTGACCTATCAGCTCAGTATTCTAATGTCTGTTCAAATTTCTTGCTAATGAATTTTCACGGGAATACAATATTGTAGAAAATAATACAATGAAAAAAACTCTAAAGCATCTTATAACATTACTTTGTATGTATGTATGGATGTATGTATGTATGTATGTATGAATGTATA